AAGAAGAAGAAGAAGAAGAAGAAGAAGAAGAAGAAGAAGAAGAAGAAGAAGAAGAAGAAGAAGAAGAAGAAGAAGAAGAAAAAGAAGAGCATCAGCAGCAATAGCAGCATTAACAACAACAACAGCAACAACAACAACAACAACAACAACAACAACAACAACAACAGCTGAGTTATACGACCATGGTGTGGGCAGGGACTCTCCACTTGTTTATAGAGCTTAACTTACGCTCAATACTTCTTGCAGCTATTTTCTTTTACCAAAATTCGCGATTACCAAGAGGCGATTTTATTTAAGAATAATTTCGTACTTTTGATTTGAATTCCTAAAAGTCAGACATCATCGTCTTGCAAACCGTTTAAATCTCTACAGTACCTTTCCAGCTTTTACTTTATACAAACTTGATTGAGTAATGAAGCTTTTATGGCCAGCCATTGATTTAAAAGCGAATAGAAGTTCTTTGCTTCTGGTCAATAACATTTGCTGGCTGTTGTGCTTCTGTTTGAACTGGAATCACAAACAAACGCCACGGATTCTTTTGTAGTTGTCGTTAGCTGGTTTGGAGAGACAGGTGATTTTGATGGTCATGTCAGGTCGATGAGCTTTGTCCTCGGAATAACCTTTGCTGGAGTGTAAGACGTTGAAAATAAACGGATAGTTCAGACGAAGCCGTTGCGAAATCGCAGGAAACAATGGAGTGTCATTTAATTTCGTTCTGTTGTCATTCTTCCTTTGAGTCCCCTGTCCGGGCAGGTTTCATATAACGTTCCCACAATGACATGCTGCTTGATTTTGCGAGATTCTCTCTGTCTAAATTTAACTTTTTTGGAGCAAAATTTACGCATATTCATTCGTTGACTCACTCACCTCTCTCCCCAAGTCTTGCGACTTCTGTATTGACACTGAATCTATGGAATTTTGAATTTCATGCTCTTTAAAAAAAACAAGAAACAAAAAACAAAAAAACAAAACAAAACGAGGAAAAAACCGAACACCCCCCCCAACCAAACAAAACACCGACACTTGTGAATTTTAGGCAATTCCTACTACTTATTAAGGATTGCCGCTTGCACGCACACACATACACACACACACGCGCTCACACAGACACACACACGCGCTCACACAGACACACACACACATACACACACACGCGCACACACAGACACACACACACACGTACGCACACTCTCACTCACACACACACACACATACACACACACACACACACACACATACATACACACACACACACACACACACACACACACACACACGCATACTATACGAGCCCATTACCACTTTCCTTTAATCAAGAGTGCATCACATACAGCGTACTTGTAAATAAATTAATAGTGCACGAGTTACGTTGCAGCCCACACACTCTTTGCGTGCTAGTGAAAAAGAATTACGTTCCACTTCTCGTCTTTCCGTATTATTAGGTTTTTATACCTGAACCCCGGTGTGCGTTTTTCCTGTTCTCCTTGATTAGCGCGACTATTGTAATTGTGTGAGGCTGGCTCTCTTCATCGCCGAAGTTTCGTTTGTTAATATACGTAATTGGTACCAGAGACTGGTTTGGCAGGATAGCTGGGAGTCTTTGTCGGGTCTGACTGGGAAGTACTAGTTAGTTGTGAATAGTTCTTGTCCTTGATTGAAAATCATTATTATCTTGAGGGGAATGCCGACCTTGAGCTTGAGAGAACTGCGTTTACGACTAGTGGGATGTAATCCTGAAATCTAGTTAGTTTTTTTTTTTTAGTTTAAAAAAAACAACACAAATGAATATTACACCCTAGAGTGTTTCAAATGAGCTGCCTTATAGTGATGTGTCTCGAAACCAGGGAACAACGAAAGAAATAAAAATGTGTTTTTGTATTTCTGACGAAGAACTGTGTTTCAGCAAATATATACCGTGAGGACTGTCAGTCAGTGCAAGGCTGCTGTACAGACTTACGTCTCCACCCAAATTAACAATTCAAGGATATTGTAGATTTTATTTCGGAAGAGCTCTTTGTTGTTAACTAATTGTGACCTGTTACGCATTGACTTTGGACAGTTATTGCCTGAGAAACATTGAACAGTTACAGCCGCTGTACTGTTGGTCTACGGCAAATAAGTGATTACTGTGTGTTTGTTTAACACAGCAGAAAAGATGAATTTAGTTTCTAGTTGGCCTCTAGAATTCTGTTCATACTTTTTGACAGGTGGGAAACAATAAAATAACGCTGGTACTGATGACTCGGTTCTACTATTTCCCCTACCCCGAACCCTATTTCATTTTAAAGTGATAAATTGTGCTGTGTTGTTTCTTTAACAACACAGGGTGTACTTGTTGCTCATGCGCTCGCATTGTCCCCGAGCCAGCGGCGGTGTTTACCTATCCTTGTTTTCCGACTACAGCGATGTACTGGTCGATCACTGTCAGGGACTAGATCTGTTCTTGACTGTGGCTGTAGTGGAGCAAATGGCATCGGCTTATCGAAGGCTATCACCGCGTCAACATAGCGCTTTCGTGTCCACTCGTTCCTTATAAGGAAGGCGCCTTTCAAGCTTGTGGACAGTTCAGCCTCTATTAGTGGATCTGGAAATGTGAAGTCCTGGCTTCTCCGATGTGCCGAGTTGTGTGTTCTCGGATGTACTAATTAGAACTGAATGCGAGCGATCACGATAAAACATAGTTGCACCCACTCCTTGTCTCCACAGCTCAGTGACATTTTTTTTTTCTGACAGTAGGCACAATCATCCTCTAAATTTGTGAATGTTTTTTCAACAAATGAAAAGGGCTACTATGGTTTTTAACGACATAACAGTCTATTGCCGTCCTAATACCGCGAGTGGTAGTCGTGTTTAGGTCACAGGCAGGCCTCAAGACAATCGATTATTTTTAAAGTATTCTTAAATCGTGACTTCACTTTAAATAATGTTTGTTCATACGGAGTCCAAACAGACTGTCAGCATCTTTCATGATACCGTTGTTGGTGTACTTCCCTTTTGTGAACTATTCTGACGTCTTCGTTGGGACGCTTTGTGGTGGGTTGCCCAGAAAGTACTCCTGGTGTTCTGGCTATGGACAGCTAGTCCCCACACTGACAGAACAAAGTCAGGCACACCATTGCTGCAGGCATAGGATTCCCCGTCTTCCCGTGTTATGATCCTATAGTCAAGTGTTCCGTGAGACCACGAGTTATCTAATAATGTGTGCAAGCCCTACGATGATGGCGGACGAAACAAGTGGCGACAGTTTTCCTTTGAGCTGGATACAGAAGTTCTACAGCCACACGCCCCACTCCTACATTTCTATGTGGAGAAAGACACATACGACGGTAAAAATGTCTCTCATTTGGGTATAATTTGATTTATGTCTTGTTTTAGTGTATTTGTATGCATGCGTGTCTGTGTATGTTTATTTGTTTGTGTGTTTGTTTGTTGTTTGTGTGTGTGTATGTGTGTGTGTGTGTGTGTGTGTGTGTGTGTGTGTGCGCGCGTGCGTGTGCGTGCTCGCGTGCGTGTGCGCGTTGTGGGGTGAGGGTATTAATGTGTGAGTGTTTATGTATGCTTGCAGGCGCTTGTATGTGTTGGTGGTGGAAAAAAAGGGAGGGGGTGCATGTATGCATGTTTGAATGTGTATATTATGTGTCCTCAGTACTCCTCAGGCGTTTGTGTGTGTGTGTATGTGTGTGTGTGTATGTGTGTGTGTGTGTGTGTGTGTGTGTGTGTGTGTGTGCGCGCGTGCGTGTGCGTGCTCGCGTGCGTGTGCGCGTTGTGGGGTGAGGGTATTAATGTGTGAGTGTTTATGTATGCTTGCAGGCGCTTGTATGTGTTGGTGGTGGAAAAAAAGGGAGGGGGTGCATGTATGCATGTTTGAATGTGTATATTATGTGTCCTCAGTACTCCTCAGGCGTTTGTGTGTGTGTGTATGTGTGTGTGTGTATGTGTGTGTGTGTGTGTGTGTGTGTGTGTGTGTGTGTGTGTTTTAGGAGGGGTAGGGTTAATGCATGCGTGTGCATGTGTGCTCGCAGACGCTTTTGTGTTTGTGTGTCTATTTATTTGTTTAAGTTAGTTAGTTTGTTGTTGTTGTGTGTGTTAACTTGTTTTCAACGTTTGCTAGAGCCAAGATATTAATGTAACACAACACTATTGAGGTGGATGACACCATACTGATACACTTAAGAAGAAAAAAAAGGCAGGGGTGGACCAAGAGCAAATTGCTTAGAGAACTTGAACAGATAGGTGAGGTTGAAAAACCAGAACAATATTGGTATGATACGTAGAGCATCTGAACAGAGAAGTGAGTGGACAACCATCATCGCAGATGTCTGTTTCATATCTGGCACTAATGATGATGATGGTGCTGCTGCTGATGATGATGATGGTGATGGTGATGGTGATGGTGATGATGATGATGATGATGATGATGATGATGATGATGATGATGATGATGATGATGACGGTGGTGGTGGTGCCATGCACTCTAGCTCGTGATGGTATAAAATAACAACATATCGTGAATTTAGCACAGGATTGAATACATATTACATATAAAGAGTGCAGTCATATTGTGTTCACCTAGTGTGACTCAAGAACACGTTCATCAATCTTGTCTTAGAAGAACAGTATACAATTAATTGAATGGTAACAGGTTGGCCAGTTACCTACTTTATCGAACAGGCAAGTGCTTAGTAGCCAGAGATAAAAATTACCCCCCCAATCTGAACGTTCATTCATGTTTCTGCTTAAATGTCCTTACACTCGTCACTTATTAAGTTATTGACGACAATCCTGCCTTGGCTACGTTTTTAGTATGTGTATACTGCTACAACTTCTCACCTCACTTTCTCCTACTCTTCCTTCCCTAGCCTTCTCTTGTGATCTCTGTAAACTACTCTCTCCACTTCTAATGTTAGTTTGTAAGATGATCCGGCTATTTCCTCTCGTGGCGAGATTCGCTCGTCCGCACCTTCAACAGAGTTATGATGTCACGGGTTATTGCTGTAAATCATCGAAGTGGCTATTCGGACTCGAGTCTGAATAGTCTCCCGTGGCTATTCGGACCCAGACTCCAATGCGTTTTAGGCCTACATGTATTGTCCTGATTTTATTTGAACATCATATAAAGTATGCTATTTGAAAAGCTTTTCCTTTAGACCACTGTTACTTTGAATGATTGATCTTTGTTCCCTTTGGAAGGGTTTTAACTTTTCTCTTTTTAATTTTTGCCTGGACTTCCAATTGGTCAATAATTTTGTCTTTCTCGTCAAATATAACTTTTGATAGAGTTATAATCCTTTGAAACGTTAATTTTCATTTTTTTTTTCACTTCTTTGATAATTGAGCTCAGGTTGTCGTTTCCCCCGTTTGCCTTTGTTTTGTAGTATTTCAGATTTTGCAACTGTTGTTCACTTTTGACGTCACTAATACTCGGCAAATTTTGGCCAGATCCTAGAAACCGAGGAAGACTAAGACCGAATTGGCTGTCTGCTTCACATCCGGCACACCCGTTGATTTCGCACGTGCATCTGAGTTATGAGTCCGAATAGCCACGAAAGGCTATTCAGACTCGAGTAGGAATAGCCGCGGCCGTAAATCATACCCACGCCAGGGTAAAAATGTCCCTGTGACCGACAGAGCCTACCCGCCAACAACATTACAGAGTTCTCGTTACCCATGAACTATCATATTTCCGTGACTTCTCTCATTATGACCGGGTTCTTGATAGAGCATCTCGAGCATCCTTGGTTGTGTAGGTGTACGATTGCCTTGCAGTCTCTGCACTGCGCCACAGTCTGACAACCAGTGTCTCTGGTGTAGCGGGTTAGGCGTTTTGCTGTCGTCACATGCAGGAGACCAGAGTTCGATTTCCGAGTGAGGAGAAATTTTTTATGGAGTTTCCCGATTTTTCTGCTGAGATGTGTCCCTCTCAGTCCGGGTTGGTCCTGACAGTCAGAGTCGGACGCCTGCCTCCTAAATTATCTAAACTGTGTTGGTGGGGGCGTGAACC